CTCTGCGCCCGCATCAGAAAGGGCCAACCCCAGATCCACCCAAGCCACATCCCGTGCTAAACCCTGCCTTGAGTCTGAAACCTTCAGATGCTTTGGAGCTGGAAGCAGGGGAAAAGAAGGGTGAAGCTGGCCCACCGGGAGAGGAAGAAGGGTTCCATGCTTATGGAACCACAGTCGAGGTGACCAACACCCCCAAATTAGTCCTCCTATACACCAAGTGGGGCCAACCCGAGATTGCTGCAGGTCTGAAAACCTTAAATGCAGAGTGAGCGCTGCCTGAGGCCTCTGTATCTCAACAGAGGAATGAATATGATGGAGCACATGCGGGGACAACTCCCACATAACTTAGGGTTGAAGGTGACACCAACGTAAAAGGCAGCATGGTGGAAGCAGAAAGTATGAATACCACCAGTTGGCACAGGTGATGAATAACCCTCAAATTTGCACAAGGTGAGAGCGGGCTCAGAAGAGGTATAAACAGTAGAGGTTTCCCAGGGCCTGCAGGGGTAAATGAGCTCTGCAGGAAGCCCAGGCACTGGGAATGCTATGCTGGTACCCCCCAAAAATGGGCAACCCTGGCTACCTGAAGTCAATAGAAAGACCAAAGGGACAACAAGGTTTAACTGCAAGGGGGTTTAACTGCATTCACCCTAGGCAAGCCTAATAAGATAAAAGCAGAAACCCCAAGCAGAAAAAAGGGCAAAGTGAAAATATAATAAAAAAAAAGCACAAAAAGCCTGTGCCCCCGAGACCAAACCGAGGAGAACGAGCAATCGGGGAGAAATGTCGGTGCGCTTACGTGTTAATTGAATACTGGTCTCACAAACCACAGTATGCCCCACCAGCCAAAAACACTCCCATACCCAAGGGAAGACGGTCACAGACCACTGGCTTACCTTTAGTGTGAGGACCATCCCAAGTGAGGAGGTCCCCTAAAGGGAGCATATCCCTAACACCCCAGGGAAGGCAACCCTGACTGTGCAAGAGCAGTACTAAAAGAGCGCACAGGAAAGAAAATCCTGAGCACATTCCGCTCCACATACACTAAACTCCTGGCGCATGCACAACACACATGTAAAAACGAGCCTCAAAGGCAAAAAAAAACTCGAAAATGGAAAACCGGAGCCAGAGCAACATGACAACCAGGCACATCAGAATAAAAATGAAGGTGGTGGGGTCTGGTTGACCTGGTCTGTATCCCTCTTCCATCGAGCGAGGAGTGGGGGGGGGGGAAGATGGGGCAAATGAACTTGCACTAGTTTCACAAAATTTTGGAGGTTTGTTTTTATTGTTGGGGGGGGGGGGGGGGTTATTTAGGCAATTTTTGAGGCTGTAGTCTTCAGGTTTTACCATGCAGCAATATGTTGTTTTGCCTAACTTTCTGGTGCTTCCCTGGTGGTGGCAATTATGATTAACTTTAAATGTAAAGTGTTTATAGGCCATTGCTCCCTGTACCTCTCTGAGGGAACCAGGTTCTGGTTTGTGGTCCCCGGTAGGCCAATAGAACTCTGCGACTGATGGCACCTAGTAGTATGGCACTTATCAGTGTATGATATATCTAATCAGTTTCAGGGAGCTGATTGGGCTTCCCCCCAGAAAATATAATTGGGATAATACAATACATTTTTCCCCCATTTTATATTTTGTGCAATTTAAAACTCTTCCATAGGTTGTAGCTGAGCCTTGTAAAGCCTGCAGGTTAACTAGTTAGACAGTCCTGATGTGTGAATTAAGTTAAACTATGCACCTGTACAATTTAATTTTATAATTATATCTGTGCAAGAATTTTATAAAACTATACTAATAAAAGAATGCTGGAACCTTTCAAATGAAAGCTACATGTGTATATGTAACATACCTGGGAATACACTGGAAAAATAGATATATAATGGATGACTATATATTTTGTGATTAGCATACGGCCGATACGTTTACATCAGTGAGATTTGGGTCCAGACTGCAGTAGTTGGAGCCTTAAAATCACTTTGGTATAGTCTAGAAGAGGAGTGTTATCTCAGCATTATAATAATTCATGATGCTAGTAGGCCTACCTTACAATTTTCCTTATAGTTTTTAGTATAGCATGCATGGAGTCTTCATTTTAATTGATGACATGAAATTATTCCATGAATTGGGAAAAAAAGTGTAAAAGTTTTCATAAGCAAGTATATTGTAGTAAATGTATGTAGTACTGTAGTACAGTATTGTATTTTGATACAGTTTAATGTATATATCTTATTTTTATATGCCTGTTTTTTGCTCTGTATATTTGTTTAATGTTCCTAATCATATAAGGTTAATAAAATGTGTTAAACATCACGTCACATTCATTTATTGATTATTCTCAATGATATACATTTGTTGTCTAATTTACTTGTATACATTCTAGTGACGACCAAACCACAACTCGGAAGATGGAGAAGTAATGACGTTTCGATCTGTCGTGGACTATTATTTTATTTTATTTTATTTTATTTATGCATATACAAGAATGTACATAAGGAATGTGAGGATACAAATATGGTAATTACAGTCTTGTAAAGCCACTAGCACGCGCAGCGTTTCGGGCAGGTCCTTAATCTAAGAAAATTTTAAGGAGGTAAATACTTGCAAAATTATAGACAAAAAATGATAACAGATTACATGAAATGAAAAAAAGATGAGAGAAAATTGTAGGTACAGTATATTAAAGCACATAGGTAGCTAAGATTGATTGCAATGACAGCTTGAATGGTAGTTGACAAAAAAATTGGTAGGCATAATACAGCAGAAACAATATAAGATTGGTTGCAATGACAGCTTGAATGGTAGTTGACAAAAATTGGTAGTCACAATACAGCATATGGCTAGCACATAAAAGAAGACAGCAATGAACACAATGATAAGGTTGTTTGAAATTACATAAAAATTAGGAGATTGGGTACAGTAACACTAGGTACAGAGCAAATTTAAAGCTCAGTGTAGGAAACTAAGAAGATGAAGTTAGGTACTTTTTGGTTTTGCTTTTAAATAAGGCAAAAGTTTTACAGTTTTTCAATTCACTAGGGAGTGAGTTCCATAAACTAGGTCCCTTAATTTCTATAGAGTGTTTGCACAGATTAAGTTTGACCCTGGGGATATCAAAGAGATATTTATTTCTGGTGTGGTGATAATGGGTCCTATTACATCTGTCCAGGGAGAGTTTCAGAGCATGGTTTGCATTTAAGAACAGGGTTTTGTAAATGTAGTTGACACAAGAGAATGTGTGGAGGGAGTTAATATTTAGCAAGTTTAGGGATTTAAACAAGGGAGCTGAGTGTTGTCTGAAAGCTGAGTTAGTTATCATTCTGATAGCAGATTTTTGCTGTGTGATGATGGGCTTAAGGTGGTTTGCAGTGGTAGACCCCCATGCACAGATACCATAATTAAGATAGGGGTAAATTAGTGCATAATATAGTGAGAGGAGAGCAGAGTTAGGAACATAATATCTGATTTTGGAGAGTATACCAACTGTCTTAGAGACTTTCTTAGTTATGTGTTGAATGTGGGTGCTGAAGTTGAGTCTCTTGTCTAGGAATAGGCCAAGAAACTTGCCATCATCTTTATTACTGATGTTAATGTTGTCTATCTGTAGCTGAATTGCATTTGATGATTTGCTTCCAAATAAGATGTAGTAAGTCTTTTCGATGTTTAATGTAAGTTTGTTCGTTGACATCCATAAGTGGACTTTTTTTAATTCATTATTCACAACATTATTTAGTGTATGTGGGTTGAGGTTTGAATAGATAAGAGTAGTATCATCAGCAAACAGTATAGGTTTGAGAATATTAGAGACATTAGGCAGATCGTTTATATATATAAGAAATAGAAGAGGTCCTAAGATGCTGCCCTGTGGCACTCCAACGGTAATTGGTAGAGTGGACGAAGTTGTATCATTGATGGTTACATATTGGTGTCTGTCACTAAGATAGGATCGGATGTAGTCAAGGGCAAGGCCTCGGATTCCATAATGCTGGAGGTTAAGTAAGAGGTAGTTGTGATTAACAGTATCAAAGGCTTTTCTTAGGTCAATGAAGAGTCCAATCGGAAACTCATTTTTGTCAAGGGCTGAGTAGATAACGTCAAGGAGACTAATGATTGCATCGTTGGTGCAATCAAACGGAAGCCAAACTGGCAGGGGCTGAGTATGTCGAATTTTACGAGGTAGGATTATCAAGTCGTGTGATCACTTAATGATGGTCCAAGACTTGATGATGATCCAGGATGGACTGAAACGTCATTATTTCTTCATCTTCTGAGTTGTGGTGTGGTCATCATTTCTTCAGCCACGTTATTGTGACTCATCTCCTACATCCTAAAGTTTTGTCTCGTAATAATGATAATGATGATAATGATAATAATAATAATAATAATAATAATAATTAATAGTAATGTCTTCTCACAGACATAATAACATAGGATAAAATCCCCCACTTACGTATTTGTGAAATGCATGTAAAGATTTACACCAAGTCATTTGCACTTTCCTGAGTGCTTTGTCAAGGTCTGAGTATCTGGTTTGGACATGACTTACATCTCAACGACTAATGGCTTTAGTCATTGAGATGTAAGTCTCGTGTTGAGATGTAAGTTACATCTGTCTTACATAAACAGTGTTTGAGGTATCTTTTTACATAGCGTCATTAATGTGCGTGTACAAAAGTGAAAGGCAATTCTGACCAGCTTCCACATACCCTGTATACACACACACACACACACACACACACACACACACACACACACACACACACACACACTCAGGACGCAGGACTCGTAATTCTGTGGCGCGGGTTCGATTCCCGCACGAGGCAGAAACAAATGGGCAAAGTTTCTTTCACCCTAAGTGCCCCTGTTACCTAGCAGTAAATAGGTACCTGGGAGTTAGTCAGCTGTCACGGGCTGCTTCCTGGGGTGTGTGTGTGTGGTGTGGGGGAAAAAAAAAAAAAAAAAAAAAAGTAGTTAGTAAACAGTTGATTGACAGTTGAGAGGCGGGCCGAAAGAGCAAAGCTCAACCCCCGCAAAAACACAACTAGTAAACACAACTAGTAAACACACATACATATATATATATACCTATGTCTCCTACTCTGATAGGGTAAGATAACTTCTATAAAAACTAGTATGATATTAAACACTTAACCACTGAAGGTAATTAAGATGTTTTTACAAGCTCAGGTTATAGGTACATACATTGTATAACAGATGTACTGTATTACATAGTCTTGGGTACAAGTCCAATAAATCAAGTGTTCCAGTATTCATATAGTATAGTAAATAATAATTACAGAATACTGTACTGGGTTGAGGTGGCAGTTCTTCCCATCCAGTAACCTGGTACTTAACACTTTGACGCACCACGCCCACGAGACCCGCACTGTCCCAGGTGGGCCCCAGCGTTTCATGGGAGCGTGCGGTAATTCTGAAAAGTGTATATTCTCTTCAATTTTGTCACCTCAATTCTCGTCCAGGGTTTTTCAATTTGGTATCATTGTGTTCGCAATAGAATTATCTACACGACTAAAGACATATAAAGTCCAAAAGCCCGGCGTACCATCCACAACAAACACAGAAAGTGAGTGTATGTTACCCGGAAGTGCATAAGAGCGATAAAATGTGTACACTCCTTTCACGTTTGTCACCTCAATTCTCGTCCTAGGGCTTTCATTTTGGTATCATTGTGTTCGCAATAGAATTCCCAACAAGTGCATATGCATATGAAGTCAAACGCCGCAGCACGCTCCACCCACCGACCAGATGAATGTGGCTTGGAAAGAGAGCACTGCGCCATCCCAAGGCGCGCCTCATTACATTAGAGAGCGAGGTAATACTGAAAAGTGTATACAGTACTTGTTTCAAATTTGTCATCTCCTTTCTCGTCCTAGGTTTTTCAATTTGGTATCATTATGTTCACAATAGAATTCTCTACACGACTAAAGACACATGAAGTCCAAAAGGCTGGCGTACCATCCACAACAAACAGAGAAAGTGAGTGCGTGTTACCCTGGAGCGCATAAGAGCAATAAAATGTGTACACTCTCTTCACTTTGGACATCTCAATTCTCGTCCTAGGTCTTTCATTTTGGTAACATTGTGTTCGCAATAGAATTCCCTACAGAAGTATATGCAAATATAAAGTCCAAAAGCCAGATGTACCACCCACAGCAAACAGAGAAAGTGACGGAGCATAATCCCAGTGAGTGCTCATAAAATGGGTATACTGTTTTCAACTTTGTTACCTCAATTCTGGTCCTAGATCTTTCATTTTGGTATCAATGTATTCGCAATGAAATTCCCTACAAGAGTATATGCATATAATATCCAAAACCGCTGTGCGCCCCTCCCGAAGCCGCCGCCAATTTGCCGCCAAAAACGACGCAATGCTGCGTCGTTACCGGGAATGTTTCAACTAAAAAAATGATGCAATGCTGCGTTGTCACCAGGCGAAAGTGTTAAGGGTTTATACCCTTATTGGGTCTTGCCCCTCAGGTTAGCCGGTGGTCCTGGACTGTCTGTCTTCCCTTGGGGTGGGAGTGTTAATGCTGGTGGGGCACACTGTGATTTGCGAGACAAATCAGAGTGCCAAGGTGAGCCTCCAGTTATAGTCTGGGTGGTGCTACGTTCTCCTCGGTTGCTTGGTCTCCGTGGTTTGGTCCTGGGGGTCTGGGCTTTCTCTCTTGTCTTCTTTTGGGGGGTTTTAGTCATTTTGCCCTTTTTTTTGCTTTGGGGCTTTTCTGTTAAAGCTTATTAGGTTTTCCTAGGGTTTTTGTATGGTTCATCCCCCTTGTTGCCCCCTTAACTTTTCCGTTGGCTTCGGGTGGCCAGGGATCCCTGTTCAGTAGACTGGTCAGGGGTAACTGGCATAGTGTTCCCAGTGCCTGGGCTTCCTGCAGGGCATACTCACCCTGTAGGCCCTACAAAACCCCCTTGGGTTTGGTTATACTATGGATAACTTCTCAGAGCTCACCTTTCTATTTAAGCCTTTCCTTTGGACTCTGTTTTTCCTTCTCGGGTAGTGGGCATGTATGAGGGTTCTGCCCCGGGGCCCTACGCCTCAGTTATGAACTCTTTCAAGTTTGGTTCATCTTCCCCTTATTGGGTGTATTACAAGGCTCTGGAGTCATCCTGGCTAGCAGATTGTAATTTGTTTTCCCTTAAGAGCTTAGTGCAGGTTTTGCCGTACCCGCATGCTTGACTGATGGGAGGCATCTTCTGTGTTGCAGTTTTTTTGGGGGGGTTCTTTTTAGCCTCTCAATGGGTGCCTCTTTGCTCTGGCCCTTTTCTGTGATGTGGGTCTGGTGCAGCTACATGCTCCAGTTCCTATTGGCTGCTTTGGTTGCAGGCGACCTTCATGCCCACTCGCACTTGGCTTCTGTCGTGCATTTTTTGTGCCTCCTAGAGCTTCATTCTCATTGGCTTTTGTAGGATGTTGGGATGCTTGGTGAGGTTCCTCTTGCAGGGGTCATGGCCTCTGCTGCTTCGGCATCGACTTTCCTCCTTAAGCTGTATGCTCTGATCGCCCAAGTGGTGGTTTTCATGTTTTTTACCTCTCATCTCGCGTGTCGGCAAGCCATGCTGGCCCAGTCTTTGGATTCGGTGTGGGTCCTGGCCCTGACTTCTGCTTCCCTTTTAATTCGTTGTTGGTCCCTGAGGACATTGTTTCTCAGTTTTTGTTGGCTGTAACGAACAGTTGCAGCCAACGGACTGCCCCGTCTTTTGACTTTTTGTGTGTTTTTTGTTTGGAGGGTCGGTCTTGTCTTTCATATCGGTTTGGTCATTTGTTTTTATAGTTGGGGGAGTTCTTTTGTCAGTTTTTGAGGCTGCAGTCTCGTTTCAACCATGCAGTAGTCTGTTTTGTTTCCCTGACTTTCTGGGTGCTTTTCCTGGTGGTGGCAGACATGAGTTGCTTTAAATGGAAGGTGTTCATAATGCCACCACTCTCCTCACCTCTCTGAGGGGCTAGGTTCTGGGTCATGGTCTCCTGTAAGCCAATAAAAACTCTGTGGCTGATGGCACCTAGTAGTATGGCACTAAATTAGTGTAATAGCTTCAGGGAGCCACCGGAGTTTGCCCAGAAATTGGTGTTTCATTACATTCAGTGCTTTTTTTTTTTTTTTTTTTTAAGATTAGTAGCTCTCTACTGCAGGATCAATCTCAGGTTGCATAAATTGGATTATGGCTGGCCTGCTTACTACTATGCCTCTCCTTTGACCCTTGGTTCTGCACCATGCTGGGTTGTGCCTCAGGGTTGGTGCCTTTCATTCGTCCTCTATCCAGAGCTTGCATGTTGAAACAGATGTCTTGTTACTACATGATCATTGGCATCGTTACTGCCTTTGCCACCTCACAAGGCCTCTGCAACATTCTCATTCTCTCTTTTACTAGGCTTTGGCTGTTGCCCCTCCAGGCTGCCCTGTTCCCTTTCACCACCTTACTTTTTCTCTTGGGATGTCTCATTTGCAAGCGTCTCTTTTGGTTTGTCTCTCCTCATGTCGTTTCATCCTTACCTCCATGGCTGGTACCACTTGTGAAGTTTTGCAAGTCTTTGACTCATGTACTAAAGCCTTCTACACCACCTATTGTTCTGAAAAGCCTTTTCCTTGAACATTTTTCTTCACACTCAAATTCTATTGCCCTCTTCACAGATGGGTTTAAATCAGCTGGTGGCGTTGAATACTCTGTTGTTTTTCCAAACCAAACTTATATATGCCGCCTACTTCTGGAGACTAGCATCTTCATGGCTGAACTGTACATTATCTTGCATGTCCTTCGTCGATTGCTTTTCTATCGTCAGCGCTCCTTTATCATTGTGGATGACTATTGTAGTGCTCTCATGGCTGTGGAGTCATTTAATTCTGTGCATCCTGTGGTTGTCAAAATCGAGTATTGGCTGTTTTTAATCTCTATCAGATTTAAGCAGGTTGAGTTTTGCTGGGTTCCCAGCCATATTGGAATTTCCTTAAGTGAGTGTGCGGACACTGCCGCTAAGGAGGCTATCCACAATTGTTTTATTTGTTGAGAAGGCATTCCTTATTCTGATTTCTACCCAATCATTCATTCCTCGATCCGTGACTGTTGGCAGGGTCATTGGTCTTGTGTTACTGGTAAGAAACCACATGCCTTAAGGGTAGCCTATCCCCTTGGCCTCCCTCCTACCACCATAACTGGCAGTGGGAAACAACTCTGGCAAGGTTACATATATTGGCCATACACATTTAACTCATGGGCACTACTAAATGGAATGCCGCCCTGCTCCTTATTGTCTAAACTACATTGTCCCTCTTACAGCTGTGCATCTCCTTGTTGGATGTTCTGATATTCAGGACATTCATGCGTCTTGCTTTCCAACTGTCCCTCACAGCTATTTGTCCCTTAATAGAATCCTTGGTGATTCTGATACCTTTGATATCTCTTGCCTTGTGCACTTTTGTTCTTGTTTTCACATTCTTGGTGATATTTAACACCTTTTGCATATCTGCAATTTTGATGGTGCTACAAAGTCTCCCTGGCTTGGTGCCTTCTTTTGATAATTACTTATTTAGCTGACCTCTGTATTATATTAACAAATAATATTAATAAATAAATAATAAAGATACAGTATAAAGGAATATTGCAATAACCATATATAAATGAAAAGTAGGAATTTGTTCATAACCAGTTGGTCTTGTGATAGATTCCCTGGAAGAAAAAGTTGGTTCCCATTTCCTTACACCCAATGTGCCTGTTCGTTTAGCAGTAGAGAGATACCTGGGAGTTAGTCAACTGTTGTGGGTTGCATCCTGAGGAAGGTTAGTTATTGAGGGACCTTAATAAGCTTAACAGGATTCACATAACCCAGAAAAATGGGAAACCGAATAACTTTGTGCCTCGTGGGTGACTGGAATGGGAAAGACTTCCCACTTAGCTCTTCTATACCTTAGGGACTGACTGGAGTGAGAATAGGTTGAGGTACTTCATCCCTTTGTGTGTATTAATACCTCAATAAACTTATTTCAATTTCAATACCTTAGGTGTTTATCTGAACAGGTTTAAAACTTCAATGAAATCACAATAGTGTGATATGTCGATGAGAAAATAAATTTGTCCTATTGTGGCTGAGTGGGTTAAGGCAGCTGTCTGGGCAAAACCAGAATGCTGGCTCAAGTCACCTCATTGCCCCAAAATGATTTTCTCAGGTTTAAAACTTCTTTTTGATAAATTTTGCCAATATGGACTAGTTTTGTGCAGCCAATATTTTGCCAGAATCTAGTTTTTTTTTTTTTTAAGAACTTCTTACATTATTGCAATATTAATTCTAATGCATTTTTCTATTCTTTGCAACCATTTGTTGCCACAGCAATTTATATTAGAATTTCAAATTAAATTTGATGGCCACACAACTCTCAGAAAGAAGCCATTTGCAATGGTTTTAATTAAATGGTACATTTCTTGATCAATTGATTCAGTGCGTGCAGATGCACTCAGTTTCAGGTGGGAGGAATTACTCAATTAAATTTTTACTGCCATAAAATCTCCCATTTCAAAATTGTTAAGTGTTAACATGAGGGCCCCTCATATGAAAGTGCCCAATTGGCTCATTACTTAATGCAGGACTGCCCATACTTACCCCATCTACTTACTTTTTTCTAATATACTGGGTATGTCCTTAATACTGTGTGTTTGGAAGGAGGGGGGTTGGCCATTTTTGTTTTAGGAATATGTATAATGCTGTTTATATCATGAGATATGCCTATCTTCAGTACTGAGGATACATTCTTCAATCAGCTGAAATTTAAAAAATATATTATTATTATTATTATTATTATTATTATTATTACCATATTATTATCATCATCATATGCAAAATGTTGACTCAATTGATTACATCATTATTTCACTGAAAGTAATATACAGTACTAGGTATTGTTGCTGAAAGAACTTAAGTTTATATCATTCAGGTGTTGCCAAATTTGATCAAAGCTCTGTTATCATATTATTTTATAGTTGTAGTGAAGTGATTATGTCAGTGTTCTTGCCAGCAGTGATTTCCATGCTTGCTCTCGTTGTCTTGCTTCAAGCTATTTATTTTGCAATTACTGTACTTTTCAAAATATTGCTTGAGCTCTACATTAGTTTTCCAATCAGTTAGCTTGGGAAATATATAGTATAGTATATATACAAAATATATTGAATAATTTTGAGATGAGCAAATTACTGTACAGTGTAGATGATGGCAGACACACAGAGAGATACTGTAGTGTGGATGTTTTGTATAGGGTTGAATACTGTGTACTGAACACTCAGAGATTTTTAGAAGTGGCAAAAAACACAAACACGCACATGCACACATGCGTGCACACACACACATACATACATACATACATACATACATACATACATACATACATACATACATATATATATATATATATATATATATATATATATATATATATATATATATATTCAGAGATTGTAAGTTATGCTTGTGTGACTGGGACTTTATTTAAACTTTAAGAACTGTCAGTAGTCCATATTTTATTTTTCATTTTTTCCTTAATAGAGACTTTCTTACAGAAAGCACATGGCACTGTTTGAGAGTTATAGATGCACTATACACTGTTATAGTCAGTCATGTATATATATTGTATATTCCATAAATGTGTAATGTATATTTATTTCATGTAAAAAGATTATTTCCAAAAACTACAATTTTTTGTAAGACTTTATAAAATATACAAAATTTAAGTTCACACATGTTTATGATTATACTTTCCCATCCTCTTCTAAGTCATTGTCAGAAAATGATGATTAATATTTACATACTAAATGAAGAATGAATAATGTGTTAAACTCGTAAGCTCCAAATTTAGATATGAAAGAATGACATTTTCCAAAATTTAGATAAAGCCATAAAAATATATGGGTTTTAAGCATAAGCCATGGTAATGACACAATAGTTTCTTCATGAAATAAAATAAATATGAAATACAGTAATTGAAATGAGAATTCAACATTAGTAAATAGAATAAACAATGTAAAGAACAGTAAATGAGTGCCACATATTGTAATTGTAACCAATAATCAAAAGGCAAATGGAAAATATAACATTTCTTAACCTTTAAACTGCACAAGGCATATGCATATATGCCGTGACTAGCTCAGTTTCTGAAACTTTCTGAAATGCTTTCAATTTTTTTGTGCATAATCTACTAGGCATATGATCCAACTTTGTCTAAATTATCACCAATGTAATAATAATAATTTATTTAGAAAAAGTACATACATAGTTGCAGAGTTACAATACAAACATTCTGTTTGGTTTAAAGAGGGAGTACATACAATACCTAAAGCCACTACAGTAGTATGCATAGCATTTCGGGCAAGGTGAGGTGGGGAAAAAACCACTTGGACTAAAACTTAATAGTAATTGAGCTTAAAGTATAAATTGCATTGAAAGGAAAAAACTAATAAAAGATAAAAAAAAAGGGGGGAATATGGTAGAAAATAGCCAATATACAAGTTGGTCAACAAACAGCATTTTTTTTTTTAATAGTAAGACATCGGTTGACATTAGAAGTAAGGTAGGTTATATGGAGTTAATTAGGAGTACTTAGTTTTCATCTTAAACTGGTTGATATAGGTATAGTCTCTGACATGATTGGGAAGGTCATTCCACATTCTGGGTCCCTTGATTTGTAGAGCATTCCTAGTTTGATTAAGTCGTAATCTTGGAATATCAAATAGGTATTTGTTTCTGGTGTGGTGCTCATGAGTTCTGTTTCAACCTTCTAGGAAGCATGGAAGGTCAGGATTGACATTACAATTCAGAGTTTTAAATATAAAGAGTACACAAGAGAGGATGTGCAGTGACTTAATATCTAACATATTCGGAGATTTGAGTAAGGGTACCGAGTGCTGTCTGGGGCCAGAGTTAGATATTGTTCTAATAGCAGCTGTGTGTTAGGTAATTAGAGGACGTAAATGATTTTGGGTAGTAGAACCCCAAGCACAAATACCATAGTTGAGATAAGGATAGATGAGGAGTAATAGAGCATCACCAGGGCAGGGCGAGGAACATAATATCTGATTTTAGAATGTCAACAGTTTTAGAAACTTTTTTTGCTATATTTAGAATGTGTCCCTGGAAATTCAGCTTGTTATCGATGAGGACACCAAGGAATTTACCATCAACTTTAGTACTGATTTGTATATTGTTTATTCCTAGATTAATTTCATTTGAGGATTTATTACCAAACAAAATATAGAAAGTTTTGTCAATGTTAAAGGTGAGTTAGCAGTTAGCCAAAGATGGACTTTATTTAGTTCAGTATTCACAGTGACATTTAGAGCAAGAGGGTCAGGACTGGAGAAAATGAAAGTTGTGTCATCAGCAAATAAGATTGGTTTGAGGTGTTGAGAGGCATTTGGAAGGTCATTAATGTAGATGAAAAAGGAGAGGGCCAAGTATGCTGCCCTGTGGAACACCAATGTTTATAGGTAGTGTTGGAGAAATGGAATTATTCACAGAAACATACTGGAGCCTGTCAGTAAGGTAGGACTGAAGGTATTGCAGGGAGTGACCTCTGACTCCATAATGATGTAATTTAAGAAGGAGGTTTTGGTGGTTGGGTGTGTCAAAAACCTTACGTAGGTCCACAAATAACCCAACAGGGAACTCATTTTTATCAAGAGCTGCATGTATCAAGTTAATCATACTAATAAGTGCATCATTAGTGCTTTTTTGGGGACTGAAGCCATATTGACAAGAGCTTAGTATATTGTGTTTGGCTAGAAAAGAGTAAAGCTGCTTGTAGATTAGTTTTTCAAATATTTTTGACAAGTTTGGCAGAATTGATATAGGTCTGAAGTTGTTGACTTCAGTGAGATCATCACATTTATGGACTGGGGTTACTCTCACTTTTTTTAGAATATCTTTAAAGGTTTGGAGTTCAAATGACTTGTTGTAGAGCAATGCAACGACAGGGGCTAAAGATCTGGAGGCCTTTTTGTAGATTAGAGTTGGTATCTCTGCAAAGGCACTAGACTTGGTCTTAAGGGAAAGGATTACCTCATTTACATCACTCGAATTAGCGGGCGTTAGGTACAACTTTCAATGTAACTTGAAAAACAAGAAAATAAAAAATAATTATAAAATTGAATATTGATAAGTTCAGATTTTGAAATCAGCTGCAAAAATATAAAATATCACCAATTGTTTATTTGGTGTTATTCTCTCAGAATAGCATATGGTCTTCATTTTTATAGATTTAGAATATAGGTTTTCAGTATAGTTTACTGTAAAAACAAATCATCAATATGGTATTTGAAATATGTGCCAAATTTAGACAAAAAAATGTATTGTACAACTCCAAACGTTTAGGATTTATAAAAAATCCATTCTGAAGGGATTGTAGAACAGACAGCTGAGCACACAATTTGTCAAAATGGTAAGAGTCGGTCAGAAACAGGAATTGTAGAAGCCGCTCAAAGTTAACACTGTAGTTTTAGAGATAATTGAAGTCGAAGTTATCGACAATGAATAAAGGTACAGTAGTTCTAATTCATTAATTTACTTGTATGTTTTAATAAACATTGTTTGGTCTTTGTATTCAAATATGTGAAAGTTGTAGGTCAATATGTGTTGAAATTAAGTCAAGAAAAATAACCCCCCCCAAAAAATTAAATACTGTATAGGGATAATTATATTAATTATAATGATTTAGGGGATATACTTAGGGGTATACTTTATATAAGTGAAAAGCCCCAATCTGGTCCCTAATTATCAAAACAACCTAAAGATACAAAGAAAATAAAGTTTGAAATCTGTGAAAAAATCAGCCCCCAAAAAATCAAAGTACAGTACCAAGTTCTGAGAGTTGTGACCGATATATTTGTTTATCAATTTTATTCTATCTTCACATAGTTAGAGATGGGTATGCACTCTCCAGGATGTAGAGGTTACAACAAAATCAGATAAAAAACAAAAGAGAGAACAAAAAATATCCCCCAATTTTTTTTTTCTTTTTGGACATTGATGAAAGTAACAGATATTAACACTGGGCAATGGATTTATATGATTTACTGTATAACAAAATGGAGCATAATAACATACTTACTCATTATTACTTGTTATTATGTATAACTCAGCAATACTATAAAGGCACCAGCTCTATATCCACTTTGTAGACACTATTTATTATTATTATTCTTCTTTGTGCGTCGGACAGGTGCTTGTATCTCTTCACTATTGCTTTATTCTTCAGTTCCAGTTAATAGAAACTGTTCTCCTTATCAACAAAACGTTCTTCTCTTTAAAAAAAATTGTCTCAAAATCAATTTCTTACAATATTTTTATGAAGGTTTCACAACACTGAAAACAATAAATTGGAGATTTGTTAAACATTTTTAAGTAATTTTTGCATAATTCAAATAATTTTGGCTTCCCAGTCCTTATGCTGTAGCAGTTTAATGGTTAACCCTTAGATCGCGCATATTACCGCGAATTTAGGGGCCATAACATCGAAAACTATTTGAATTATGTAAAAATAGCTTAAAATTGTTAAACAAATCTCCAGCTTATTGGCTTCAGTGTCATGAAACTCTCATAAAAATATTTTCAGAAATTGATTTTAGACGAATTTTGAAAAATAAGAACGTTTTATTGATAAGAAGAACAGCTAATAACTGTAACTGAAGGATTATGCAGTAATAAAGAAATACAAGCACCTGTCCTATGCTCAAAGAAGAAGAATAGTAGTAAGAAGTGTCCACAAAGTGGATATGCAGCTGGTGCCTTTGTATCATTGCCAAGTAATACATAATAACACAAAACATAATGAATAACTATGTTAATATGATTTATTTTGTTATATATCATATAAATACATTGTCCAATGTTAATATATGTTACTTTCAGCAATGTCCCAAAAATATTTTTTTTAGGGGATATTTTTTTTCTCCTTCGTTTATTATCTGATTTTGTTTTAACCTTTACATACTGAAGAATGCATATGTTTTCATACCTATGTGAAGGTAAAATGAAATTGGTAAACAAATAAATCAGTCACAACTCGCAAAACTTGGGACTTTTAATTTTTTTTGGACTGATTTTTTCTCTGATTTCAAACTCTATTTTCTTTGTCTCTTTAGGTTGTTTTGTTGATTAGGAACCATATTAGGGCTTTTTCACTTATATACAGGATACCCTAAATATATCCCCTAAATCATTATATTTATTATAATTATCCCTATATTTTGTGTTTTTGGGGAGGTTATTTTTTCTTGACTTCATTTCGACACATATTGACCTACAACTTTTGCATATTCGAGTATGAATGCTAAACAATATTTATTAAAACATACAATTTAAGTAACGAATTAAAACTACCTTTATTCATTGTTGATAACTTCAACTTCAATTATCTCTGAAACCAGAGTTTCAACTTTGAGTGGCTTCTAAAATTCCAATTATTAACCGATTCTCACTATTTTGACATTGTGTTCTCAGCTGTGTTCTACAATCCCATCAGAATGGATTTTTCATAAACTTTATACATTTGGAGTTATAATTTTCTTTTGGTCTAAATTTGCCGCATATTTCGAATTCCTATTGACGATTTTTTTTACAGTACACTATACTAAAAACCTATATTTTAATTCTATGAAAATGAAGATCATATGCTATCCTGAGAGAATAATAACATTAAATGAACAATTAATGATAGTTCATATATTTTCTGGGGGGAGCCCC